ATGCAGTTTTGGACTACATGAATAGGGGCATTAAGTGCAACATATTAGAGGTCACAGTGGCTCTCTACTTGGCACTGGTTAGACCTCATCTAGAGTTATTGAATACAGTTTTGAGCTTCACATTTTTTTTTGCCTTCTTCAGAAGCACTGGGTGTTGGCTGCAGCCAGGACTGGGGATTCTGTCTGAGGTATGCCAGTGCTCCTGCAGGGACTAAAACCCAGAGGTTCCCAGCTATTGGGTCTTGCCCCTCTACTCAGGGGCAAACCGATCACCACATTTGGGGTCAGGAAGAAATTTTACCCCATGGTCAGACTGGTATGCCTCTGGGGGTTTTTGCCTTCCTCTGTAGTGGGGTGCATGGCCATCTTGAATCTCTCAAGCATATTTTAACAATCCTTGCAGCAGCAGGACACTGACCATCACTGTCTCCCTGCTTTACCAGTGGCAGGTTAGGGAGCTATGCTTTGTGGCTGTGTGGCAGCATTGCCTGTATAGTTTTAGTATACGTTACACAGGGATTTGCTTGGGATGGTTTGTATAGGAATGATCCTTCCTCAGGCAGGGGGCTGATGACTAAATGACCTCTAGAGGTCCCTTCCAGCCCTACTTCTCTATGATTCTATGAATAGAAAAGGACTTAAATTAATCTTCCCTGCCTTGCCCAAAACACCATATGAACCCTGGGCTCAAACTGCACCCCAACACTCTCTGCCTGTCTCCTGCTTCATTTTCTCCCCTCCAGTGGAGGAGTTTTGATCTTGGCATCCCCCACTTCCCCCAACAAGGGCTGCTACAATCCTGGAGAAACCTGTTTAGCAAACCCAGGAGGGACTCCAGTCAGCATACCACAACTAATGTCTCCAGCATGAGGTACGCTGCAGTTGCTGAAAGTGGTGCATCAGCATCTGTTTCCCCCTCCCAGGGTGTTTCCTGACAGACAGCGTGTTTGTTTTTCTGTGTAACATATACATATAGCACTACATGCAGCAACCTCAGCCAGACCATTTCCTTTCCAGAACTCGTCTGCCTGAGATTGCCAAAGTTTTCCTATTCCTCATCAGGATAAAATAGATACTTACAGAGTTTCCTTGAAAACAACAACATACACACACCATCCCTTTCCACAACACCCTGTTCATCTCTCCCCAATACACTACAGCCCAAGGGCTGGGGGACCTGCATATGAGACCTGAGTTCATGTCCCTTCCCCACCCAAGTCAGACCAGGCTCTTGAATCTGGGTCTTTCACACCCCAGGCAAGTATGCAGCTGTCTGTTGTTTTGACCAGAAGTCCCATCCTAGACCTGAGAAACTTCCCCTATGACAAGAGTTCCAAGAACACAGTCTACAAAAATTATCAGCTTTAATAAATAAATGGTTTCCAACAAATTGACAGGTTTCATCTGCAAATGCCCAACTAGCTCTAATCAGGCTACAGCATTCATTAGCTACAGGCATCCCAGGGCCTTTCACAACATGTATTAAAAAACAAAAACAGTGGAACAAGCAGCAGAACACAGGTAAATCAGTCTAACCCCTGTCTTTTCAAAGATGTGAGTACTTCCAATCATTACACATATTAGGAGGTTTGGGGAAGAAAGAGTCATTAGCTATTCTGATGCCCCCACTCCAAATTCCTCATAAGGCAACCCGCCCCCCCCCCCAACTTAGTAGCCCTGTGTTTTAATTTTAACACACTTTGGTACTATTCCCATTCCCAAAACATCTGAGATGGTTATTTACAATTTCCCTTAGGCAAGCAATAAATCCAATGATAACTAGTAAGCTCAACACATCGTAAACAAGATCCTTATGGCGGGCCAATTACTCCTGCGCACTGTTCAACCCTGTATAGTTTATTCCTCCACAGCAACACTAGAAACTGGGACCCAGCTCACCTAGTCACAGTTACTATGTAGATCAAACTTTCCATTTCCCATTGTTGTGCTTGGGGAGCCATTTGGGAAATCTGGAGCAGTAGAGATCCAGTTAAAGGAAATGAGGTCACTGGAAGAAGGATAATATGGATAATAACATTGACCATTTGTTGTTTTTCTTGCAGTGGGGATGAATGCAGGCATCTACACCCAAAATTTACCCACTCACCCATCTGTATGGGAGCCCAGCAGCAATTAGCAACTTGCTGGTCAGTGGCCATGACAGACTCAGGCTCAAGTCCTCTCTCTCTCTCATTCTCCCACATCTGAGGTAAGTGCAACAGCCACAGGCTACTTGTAACAATTGGATGGGCCTGTATCAGTATCTCCCATTCAAACTTTTTCTCTCTGCATGATAATTAATTGTTCATAGGGCCAGAGAGAAAAAACAAATCTGACTTTAAATCCCAGTGGTTGGGGCACAAACCTGGAATGAAGAGGTTTAAGTCCTTGCTCCCAATTAGGCACAGTACAGATGTGAACAGATTTACCACATAAAAAATGAGTGGAAACTATTTCAGGACAATGAGCTTGCTGGTTTTGATCAGATGTTTCACCCTGGACCCAAGAAACCAATTCCCAATGAAGATTTCACCAACACGGTTATGCTCCAATAAAAAAAACCAAAACCTGTTAATTCCAATTAATCAGCATTTTCCAGCAAAATATATTTCATCCAAATAGTCTCCACTGTTTGTAAAGTTGAGAGCAGACATGTCACACTACATACCGCTAGGTGGATGAAGTCACATTATCACACACTACAGCAGAACAGATAACTGGACATTAGTTCCAATGAACATCCGCTGGCTAACAATGTGGGTTTAAGACAGGTGCAGACACAGGCTTGAGGATGCTCAGACATGACATGCTGGTTAGGGCTCATCTGTACAAAAGCTACCAAGGTGAGCAAAGTAATGAAGCCAATTAGTCAGTGTGTCCTTCCTACCCTTGAGTAACGATGTAGAATGATTCGTGCAAGAATCAATTGTGAACCGAGGAAAAAACTGTACCTGTTCTTCCTTTGCAAAGGACATTTTTCCTTCGTGGGCAGTTTTAAGGATCACAATCAGCAGCTGAAGTTTACTCTAATGCAAGGTGATCAGCCTCCAGCCTGTGGGCCAAACACAGCCTGTGGAGCCGCTGCATCTGTCTTCAGGGCTCCCCATGGGTCAGGAAATTTGGCAGTGGGGGTGCGGTGGGCATTAACATACCCCAACCCGGCCCAAAACCCAAACTCCAAGCCCTGCGTACCTGGTCAGAGCCAAGCCATGCCTCCTTCCCCCATGGGGCCAAGTTGGGGCCGGATCGCACCCCATTTTCCCCCTCAGGGCCACGTTGGGGCTGGGCCAAGGCCCAGCCCCAGGACTAAGTCATGCCCCCTTCACACTGCTGGCCAGGTTAAGTCCCTTCTCTGTGGGGCCCAACTGCAGCCCACCTCAGGCCGGGCTGCTCCCCTGCCCTCCTCCACATGGCCAGACCATGCCCGCCGCACCGGCCCTGGGTGCTGGATCGAAACCACCTGGTGAAAGGGTTGGGGCTTTTGCTTTCCATTCTACAACATAAAATAGCATGACACTTAAGCTATGAGTATTCCAAACACGTCATAGTAATTCAGGTTTATATATTGCCCTCAAAACGGCACTTGATTTGTATTTTCTGATGCATAGTTACGGTTCGACTTATATGACCAAAGACAAAAGAAAAAGAAAAATCTATGCTGGATACTACATAGATGATTATGGAGTACTGAAACACTGAACAAAATCATAAAAGTCACATTGTCACTCCTCTGTGAAACCTAAAACACAAAACATAGAGCAACCCAATACCAGGAAGCAACTTAATAATGGTCAAATTGGAGATACTGCAAAATCCAGCTGGCCTAAACACCATTAGCTTTAATACAGAAAGTCAATAAAATATTTTGTATGTCTGAACAGGTCCAAGATCTACTTTTTCCAGTGCAGGAAATAAAAAGAAAAAGCATGCTACTTTTCCTCTCACTAGCTGTTAATTATGCACATGGTTATGTTGTGTGTTGTATGAACTGCATCCCATCAGTGGGCACAGCTGACAACAGAAATAGCTTGTCTGGCTCCTAAAAAATGTGAATCTCTTTCCTTTTATTCCAAAATAGCTCCTGCAAAGCAAGATTTTTGAAAATACCAAACTTAGGGATTCTCTCTGTCATGCTATTTTTTGTATCCTAACTAAACCAAGTTGAAGAAAGATATTTAACTGGAAATCATCATTTAAAGCTTTCCTTAAACAACTGAACTTTCTAATCAAGAAAATCAGCACACAATGTTTTTTTTAGAAGTCACTACTTTTATATGCATCTGTGTAATATGTATTCAACTCCAAATGACAAAAAGGGACTTGAAATGTTGAAAAGTGCTGAGCACATACTTTCTGAAAACCTGACCTCCTTAAAGTGCAGCTTTCAAAAAACTTGGCTAGCAAGTTCGCCAAATGACCTGGGAGCACTCTCCAGATATTACAATGAGAGCGCATTAACTTTCTCACATGATTTTCATCCAGCTTAAAAAAATGGAAAAGCATGAGACTTCCCCTTTCAAATTTTTGCTCTATTTCATTTGTATTTTTATTTGCCTTTAAGTTCCCAAAGAAGAATAAAATGTTGCTACAAATATCAAGGACATATCAGTGCCAGCAAACATACTGACACAGATGCAAGGTTTTTGAGACTATTTTAAAGAATTAAAACATTTTGAACTGTCCTGAAAGCAGCTGTAACAGAACAGGCAACTCCCAGGTTTAAAAAAAATAAAGACTAAGTTTTATTTAATCCTTATGTGTGGAGATACACAAACTCATAAGCATATTTGTGGCACAGGCTGTTCTCCAACAACTCAAGAAATAAATAATAATAATAATATCCCTATTTCAGCACAAAACCATAGACTAAACAAGATCTTAAAGTATCTTTTTTTTTTGTATAAACCTCTTGAAAGAGATGCTGCAGGAAACATAACATAGATCAGGCTACATATTTAAAGCAAAATACATTTGGGATGATTTACGAAGGGAATACTCACGCAGTGCGTACAAGGAGAGGATTATTCCAGCCAGGCAAAACCCCTCAAAAAACCTGAGTGTGCTGAACATTGTCACATTCACTGAGAGTGCCACAGTCAGTCCAAATATCAGAATGAATATGACAGAGAAGAGGAGAACTGGCCGTCGACCAACCCTAAAACCAGGAAGGCAGCAAGGGAAAACAGTGTTAAAACCCAATATAGAGAGAACACTAGAATATTTTATCTTTCAGAAGATATTATTAGCATATAAAAAGAAACAAATCACACAGTTCATCCCAAATGCTGCTTCCAGTTTTTAATAGCAGCCAGTACTTTTTAAACACGTTTCTCATCTATTTGCTTATTAAATTATATTATAGCTCTGGTAGGTCTTGTAAAGATTTCACTGACAAATGCATTTATGAAAAGCTTAAGGGAAACACCACTCGCTAGCTGTATCATTATTTGACCTAAGAGTCATTTCAAAATGTGAAAGTGAACCACGTGTGAACTGCAATAAAGAGCAAGCCATAAAAAAAAAAAATCTTAGGATGGGAGATTTAACATATGTAAGTGAAACAAATGCCTATTTTTCTATGGCAGGGGTATCATTAGATTAATATAAGCCTCCCAGGAAGACAAGATTTTTAAGGTTCATATAGCTATTTTGCTCTCCATATTCTGCAGCCACTACATTTACCAAAGACATTTTCTTTTCCCCACAGACTCGTGCTCCAGAATCTCACGATTTCTCAACTCTACAAGAGAAACTCATTCTCACTGTTATGAAGAGACCTTCAAAAATGTGAGACAAATGTAAAATGGTATCACAGTCCCAGGTCTTCAGAAAGCTTGCATACAACCCTTCCATAAGGAATGATTTGCTCCATTCATCTCCTTCAACACCCCAAATTTCATAGCTGGGGGGATTTTTACAACCTGCTGCAGAAGTCTGCATTATTGTAGCCAGATACCCGCCTGCCCATTGGTTTCAACTCCCTGCTCTATCCAGATATGCCAGCAGCTGCCAATGCTCTCCAACCTTCTCCACAAGACAGAAATGATTGGTTTCCAGTGCACAATCTCTGTACCCTCCCATGAAGCTAGATACCGAGCTAGAACTGGAACCCATCTCATAACCGGATGGAGGAGATTTGCAAGTCAGGAGCCTTCTGAACTACAAGTAAAGCAAACAAACAAAATGGCAAACCAGATTTGGGGAGCTACCAAGCTGAAGACCCGAAGTTAACTACAATCAGCCCTTTCCCTTGGAATACATTGAGAGAAGAAGGTTATGAGGCCAGACTATCTGGTCAATGCTGCAACTGCCCAGGCATAGAGCCATGCTGCTTGAGGAGCATAGTGAAAAGCACAAAAAAATAGTCCCTGATAAGTTGGACATGCTACATTTTAATAACGACTTTCAATTATGAGCCCACAACTGTGAGTGCACGTAGGAACCAGGATGAAGAATAATTCACAGAAAAGATAAGCTAATGTTGCAACAGAATTTAGGGGTTTGTGCCAAGCATGACACGGCAGATATGGAAAGAACCAATATGCACTGCGGCGAAGAAAGCAGAAGCTAGGCATTATCCTCCAGATCAAAGTCCTATAGTTTAATCAGGTCTCAAATGTACTTAACACTTCTATTAGGTCTTTTACTCAGATGTTGCTGGTTACCAGGCAACAATGAAATGTACTGCATACATGCACCAGTGATCAGAAGGATGCTTTGCTTTATTTAAGATGGAATAAGAGCAATAAAGACCATGGCTGGGTGTTGAGAAGAGGGAAGGGAAAGTGGATTTTTTTCTGAATATAATTTTAAGATTTAGGGAAACTGAAAGACTTCACTGGAAAATTCATCATACTTTACATGGAATTCACACTATTTTCTGAAAGTCACATGCAAGTAAATTAGTTTATGGCCTTTTCTAAGACAGCAAGTGCACTAAATAGGTTTTAACTGTAGCATCAGACTCTCTGACCCCTCCTGAAAAGAGCTGTAACTCATCTGCAGTAATACTGCAGATATTTTTAAACTAGAAGGTACCATTAGGCATGTTCAGGGCAGCCAGGTCAAGGCAGGCGGTTCTTAATCAGTATTACAAATCCAATTAAACATTATGGATGACCTCTTGGTTAGCATGCTGTTTTTGCGCTTGGGAGGAGAATCAAATACTATTTCCACAGCAGTGTGCAGCTGCATTGAGAACAAATATTTTCAAACACAAAGAGAGGAAATAACATTATGTACATCTTGCATGCTACACTTCCAGGGATTAGACAGACTGCAGCTCAAAACAAACCCCTCGTCCCAAACAGTGACGATCTTGGTGTCATTTGAGATCTTGGAAAGAATTTTGCATCCTCTCCCCAAGACAAAGCTGCAAATTCATAATCTTAAACCTGTAATTCATAATAATTGACATTTGCAAAAGTCCCTTATACATAAAAAGTGCTAAGAATTCTCATCAGAAGCCTGACATCGATCTTCTGTCCAACTACAAAGCTAGGAAGACTTTTGATTTTGCCCATTTCTACTCTGTTCTGTTGCCTAAATATAGCTTCAAAATCAAAACTTATAGAAACACCAGATACGTCTTTTTTTTTCTGTCAGGGGTTACCTGCTCTTAAGAGTAAGCAGTCATTTTCTACTCAGCTGGAGTAAAAGGCAAATACATCTTGGCTTGTAGTACAAATCCTTCCTCCCTTCATGTCCTTGTGTGACAAGGTATTTAGCAGAATTTACGGATTCACTGGAATCTGACAGGCCATGCAATGAGCTCTTTTGCTATGGCCTCAAACTTGCAACCTCTAAGCCCTATGACTATCCAAGCACATATGGGTGCTAATGAAGATCATCCAATGGAAAGGAAGAAGGAAACCAACATTTCTAGCCTGAATATATACAAAGATAGTGGATAGCTTGACACCATCAATTTGATACAAAATATCATAAAGGGGCCCTGAAAAACGTAAGCAAAATGTTGACCTTTACCTCCTTTCATAATACTCTGATGAAAACAAAAAGGAAGTCATATAAAAGGAAAATAATACATAATGTGTATATACAGCATATTTAACTATGCCCAGTAAAATCCAAGTACAATAAATGCTTTATCCTTTACAGACAATAAAGAGATCCAAGCGCCTCCTATCTGGTGAAATCCAGATATGAACAGGTATGCCCACTGTAACCTGGAATGATCTGTGCCTCCTTCCAGCAGCAGACTTGCCAACATCTTTGAAAAGCTACAATAGTGTACTCAATGCCAAACCTCAAAGAAACTGACTCATTGTAGTGATCTAATTTATCAAGAAAATGTTTTCATACTATGAAGTAAAATACCACAGAAGAGCCTTTATCTCTTGATAAATGATTTTCTGGCTTACAGTTGCTGGACTCAAAATACTTTCTTTTGCAGAGAAGCTACTGTTGGAAATGGAAACACATGGTACTTCCACAGCAACAACATCCTTGGACACATCTACACATGCTATTAATGCAAAGCAATAAACTCTGGTACAGTTCTCACCTGAATTTATTACTCCTGGGCACCGTGTTTACTCATGTGTCCAGGACTGCAGCATGCTGATCCAGGTCAGAGCAACCCTGGCTGGCAGGGGACCCAGGGTGTCAGCCTGCTGGTCTGACCCCGTTCAATGTGCTGTATACAGGCTGGCAGGGACACATAGGTGTTTCAGGGCAAGGGCTAGCCATCAGGCAGCCCCTGCCCTGACGCACTCTCATGCCCCAGCCAGCCCCATCAGCATCTACAACGTGTTGCAGTGCGGTAAATAATGCTGCCATAGTGTTTACAAGTACTAACCTACAGTGGAGTTAATTAGTTTACTGCAGCCTAATAGGGCTAATTATGTAGATAGTGAGACTTTACTGAGGAGCTAATTAGTCAGCTCCACAGTAAACATCTTGTGTAGATGCACTCCCCCAGTTGTAAAGCTGAGCACTTCAAAATGCAACACTTAAAGACTTCTGAATCGCAGGGATGTGCATACACAGCAGGCTAGAGGATGTGCACACACTCAGTTCAAGTTTGTCTGCACAGATAAACAAGGACAAAGGATGCAAGCAACCATGGACCCTCTTGCAACTGGCAAACCATATGCCCAAATGCCCAAGGAGATACACCCGTCTAACACTGAGACATTCACTGTTGTGAAAAGGGAAATGGTGTTAAGGGCAAAGTGTGGGAGACATACAGTGTGTATGTTTAACATGTGAATGTTGACATTTGTAGAAAACTGAAAGCAGCACCAAATCAAGCAAACATATTCATGTTGCTCTGGCACTGAGGCAGAATTTAGTTCTGATAGTGTACTTTGCCCAATGAAAAGCATGGCTATGGAAGGATGTCATCAGCAGGGGATTCACCACTGCATATTAGAACCTAATGCTGCTCTTTACACCACACTCGTTGTAGGTGCAAATAGTTTATTCAAATTTAGGGCCACACAAGTCACCACATGTTCATGGCTCTTTCTTCCACAGACCTTCCTCACGAATGAGCCCACACAAACAGAACCAAAGCCTCCCTTAATATACCCTTCTTACTTAGCTCATTGGCTGAATGGATTTGGGCACATTGCCATGCATCCACCAAGATATGGCCACCAGGTCCAATCTGACATGTAGAGCTGTGTCATCTGGCCCACAGGGCTCCAAACAGGTCCAAAAATTTGGTGGTGATTCCTAGAGCCCCAGCAATTAACGCTACTCATGCCACCAAATTTCCAGCCCCACAGAGAGCTCCACAGCCTAGATGCTGCAGCCCCATATCCTGGATCAGGACCATGGATCAATTTTGTGTACTGAATTGGGCCCAGGGACTGGTCCTGTCCTATTTTTTCTGTTGGCTTGTAAATCACTATTTATAAGGCCCTTTTGGTGTGGCTGATCTAATATACCAGTGATTCTCAACCAGGGTACCGCAGGCTGCTGGAATGCAGCAAAGCCCTTCTCAGGGTGCTGCATAGTATCAGTAATGTGAGGTATGCGAACACCTAAACGTGATTCATAACAAACCCAGAGACTGCAAATAAGAATGCATCATATCAAAATTATTCTGAAATAGATAGCATGTTGCCATGTAAAGTATCAACACTGACCACAGTACTGATACTCAATGACTGGGACAGCTCAGGCCAGAGAGCTATTGTTTCAGGCTTTCTGCAACCTCCAGGTGTTATCCCTGAGGTCACATTTTGAAGTTTTTCCTTTGTAGCTGTGACAGTTAAAATAATGTTGCAAAAACAAAAAACAAAAAAACACAAAAATTTACACAACTGGAGACTCTGGAGAGTAGTTGGGACATCTGCCAATGCTCCCATCCCCCATTAATCCAAAGGAACGAACCCCCCTTTGAAACTCAAGCACTTCAGTATTAAGATGACAGAGCCCACTACTAGAGGAATGATTAATAACTAATTTAAAAAACAGACGAGCAACTGAAAGGCTTAAAAGAGGTTGGGGTTTTTTTTGTTTATTTTTAAATCAGATGCATCATTGGGCTGAACAGGAGCTGACACTATCACCAACATAAAGAAATAAGTAATAATTTCTGACATTAATACCCATTTGGGTAGACACTAGAGATTGTTACCATCTCAAACAGGCTTAGTTTTTAATGAATTGGAAAATATTTAATTTTGCTTTAGCATTCTACCAGTAATAAAGTATATCAACAATGAAAATTTGAATCTAAATATTTTGTTCTCATTTTGCAATTAAAACAGTTTCAAAGGGTCAACTCATACTACTCTCTTCAGAGCTCTGTACCTTTCATAAGCATTTTCTTCATTAATAGTAAGCTAAGGAAAAAAATCTAGATACATATAGCATATTTATTTATTTAAAGTTAGATAGCATTAACAAATTTTCACTTACCAGTCAGCTATACATCCTGTTATTAAGTAGCCAAAGATTAATCCTACCAGTAGGGAGAATTTCGCAATGTGGACTTTCCAGGAAGATTCACAAACAAGGTCCCACTGCAAGAAGAAAGAGGTACATTGAAACATATGTGGTTCTTTGCAGATGCACTTGAACATATTGGCATGGTTGTAGAAACTCTTAGCACCTGAATAGCAAACAAGTAATATTCTTAGGGACAAAACTAGTTTATATTAAAATGAATTTAAAAATTCCTATTTGCATCAGCAAGCATTTGATCAGGTCCTTAGTTCTAAATTCCAGTCACCAGCCTTTGTACCCAAGACTCTGAATTTAAACAAATGTAATACACATATGGCTATCTATGCAGATATTTTAGGTGCTCCTGACAGACCTTAAAGATGCATCACTTAAATCATACCACAATGCATCTAAAAATGTAAAAGCAGAATTCCATAAAACCCACCCCCAGCTACCTAGATTATTTTAGAAGTTCAGATTCCCCATTTCAGTTGTCAAGTGCCTGGGGAGGGGGAGAGAGAGAGATTTTTTGTATATACTTTAAAAACCTTAATAAACACAAATATTAAAAACAAGTGGTGAAAATACAAAAGCATGTGGCCCTCCCATGGGCCAAGCATGAAATATTTGTCAGCGGCAAAAACACCATGTTCCTAGAGACTGAAACTTCCTCTCCCATGCCTCTCATGGGGTTACACTGCAGAGTGCCCCTTTCTATGGCTTGTCAGGGTTGCTATCTTGGCCTGACCCAGCAGAAAACTGGCCAGGCAGATTATACTCCCCTTGGCTACTCGGTATGGGACAGAGAAGATGAGGGTGCACATGCAAGAGCGACTGCATGAGAACAAGAGAGCATGTGAAGCAAAAGGGATAGGGTTTTGCAGCTGGCCCTTAGAATCGTCAGGTCCAGGTGATTGCCAACCAAGTGCCAACACATACTGTATCCTCCTCCACCACTACAGGTACTCCTCACTTAATGTCGTCTCAGTTAATGTTGTTCTGTTATTACGTCACTGATCTATTAAAGAACATACTTGTTTAAAGTTGCGCAATGTTCAGTTATAATGATGTTGTTTGGCCGCTGCCTGCTAGTAGGTAACTACTGTAATGTAATTGGATTCACTTAACATCATTTCGCTTAAAGCTGAATTTTTCAAGAATGTAACTACGATGTTAAATGAGGAGTAGCTATACTCCACTTTCTCTAGATTAGGTTGGACCAAATGCTGGTATAAGAGGACTGCACACAAAGTCAAGTTCTTTTGATAAGCTGGATGGACGGACAGTAGAACCACTTGCATCAACATGATTTTGGTGCTTCCACAGTAGTATTTCCTACTGCAATCACAACTAGAGAGGGAACTGTCCTTTAAAGCAAAATCACCTCAGTTGCTGAAACTTTAGTACTCCAAATGGGGAAGTACAGTTTTTCAGGAATATCCTCACTAAAATATTACTTAGTGTCCTGTAAAAAAAGAACACACCAGGGAAACCTCTTCATTTATTTCCAAACATTTTTCTAAGGTAGGGATATCATGTGGTTAGAGCAGTAAATGGGACCTGGGTTCAAATCTTGACACTTGGCCAGACTTCCAGTGACTTTAGAAAAGTAATTTAATTCCTCCCTGCCTTCATTTGTTACCTTATGATGCTTGCAAGTAACAAGAGCAGTCATTTAATTACAGCAAACAGCATTAGCCATTTGCCAAATCCAATTGACTTCTTAAGCCAATTGATTCAATTCAATTCAATCCAATTGATTTCTTGGCTAATTCATGCAGGGAGCAGCAGGGGCTCAGCTGTTTGCACCTCATTACCTTGTTATGCAAGGTGTACTCAGCTGTTGGCATCTCATTTTGTTCTTCAAAAGAGCCTCTCCTCTAATACCAGCCTTGAAATTGACAGGACCTAATTAGTTTCATGGCTTCCAACACCACAGCTTTAAGGTTTTGAGATGAGATAGAAAAATTAACTACCCATCACACACCTTAGCTACTTTTCTAGTGGCTTAAGGAGCCCATCACTGTCTAAAGTACTACCACACCACGCAACATTGTTAAGAAGGTTAATTTATTAATGATTGTGAAATATTCAAATAAGAAAGATGTGTCTGTCTCTCAAGGAACTGATGTTTCTCAATCAGGAAAATGGGATCAATTCTAGAGATGGCTTGTTGCTTTCCACTTTCACATGAACCGGGCATGACAAGCTACACATGATGTACTGGCAGTACCCAGCCAATCAACATTTTGGAGGCCAAGATTGCAAGGCCAAAGAGAGTCTGAAATTTGTCACACACTTCTAAGATGAGACAAGTTTATCACTAACATCCCAAAGGAAAATTAAATTACATGCACTTGAGGTTTTAAGTGGACCAGCAGGGTATATCAACCTTATAAGGGAAGGATAGATCTGACAACAATACAGGAGATGCTTGCCAGGCGATATGCTCACTGAATCATATCATTTGACTAAATACGCATTCTTTTCTTAAACAGCACCATCCTTACAGAAAACAGAAGAAATCATTTTGGCAACAACATGGCCCTAGTTATGTACCAGTCATTTCATTATGTTACAGGTATGCTTTACAGCAGGGGTGGGCAAAGTCCAGCCTGCAGGTCGGATCAGACCTGCGGTAGACTGTTTTCCAGCAGCCCCTGCAACGGCAGCTCGTTCTTGCTGCCACCACTAGACCCAGCCCCCAACCCCCCAGCCTGTCTGCCTTGCACCCACAGCCAGCAGTGGGACCCGTGCAGGCAGGGCACACAGCCAGGCAGCTGGGATGGGACCATGGCCAGGGAGCAGCTTCAGGGCCAGGAGACCTGGGATTTTGCAGTGGTGACAGTGCAGGGCCAGGGCCTGGGCAGAGACGCAATCCGCTCCCTGCAGGCTCCTGCAACAAGCATAGGTTCCATGGGCAGGGGCATGCAGGGAGTGGATCGCAGCTCTGCCTTGGCTCCAGCCCTGTGCTATCACCACCGCAAGATCCCAGGTCTCCCTGGCCCTGGATCCACTCCCTGGCCAGCCATGCAGCCTGCCCACGCCACTTCCCGCTGGTCTCCATGGAGACACCAGGAACGTGGGACCATGACACCATGCGGCTAGGGCAGAGCCCTAGTTCTGCCACCCCACGCTGTCATGACCCCACTGCTCCCAGAGTCTCCATGCAGATGGCTGGCAGCTACGTGGGCAAGGGCTGCAGGGAAATGGAGTCCAGCCATCGGCTAGGTGCACCATTTTGTCCACCCTTGCTCTACAGAGTACAGTACATAAACCTTTTGCAATTTGTACCACATCATTGCAAACACCTGGGCTCAGGGTTCTATATTCACATCTGTTTTCCTCTCTTCTGCTGAACTGTAACTTGTATGATAACTATGTGCTATGTCTCTCAGTGTATCAAAGGGATCAGGATCAAGGAGCTAATAGTACAAGTAAATATTTTTCATCCAACAATTGTAAACAAGGGAGCAAGACACAGTAAGATTTGCTTTCTGAAAAGGTTTTCCTTATCAAAAGGGTACATTTTAAATGGTGTTTTTGTAGGGAGTGGCAGGAACTATAACCAATGTAGTTTTGCACATATACTTGAAATTTTGGAATTTTATAGCTAAGAACTTCAAGGCAAACCAGTAATGTTACTTATGATCTCTAGAAATGCTTTCAAAGTAAAAAGCGCATCAGTTATGTTGATAAACCTTAAGTTGTATCAATCATGTCTAGTAGAAAGTATTATTTCTGAAGGCAGATCATAACCTGAGCTTAAAGTTGTATCAGAATAATTATAATAAGGTTGCAACACCTTATTTTTGTAAAAGGCCAACTATGCAAGTCTTTCATTTATATTTTGTTACTTCCACAGATATTAGTAATGCTGCTAGGACTGCACCAATAAAGATTTTCTTGGCCAATACTGATAGTCAATTATGAACCAGCGATATCGGCCAATACTGATCCAATAGCTGATTTACAGGAATGCAGCCTGGCAGCTTGGAGAGCAGCATTCTGATGGTAAGTCTGGAGGGAAGGGGTCAGGGGGAGGCAAATCGAGGCCCCCACGGTGAGGTAGGGAGTGGGGCAGGGGCAGGCACTGCCCAGCCAGGAGAGGAATGTGACCCAGGGGCTGGGAACAGAACAGAGCCATGGGTGGCTTGTCCAGGAGATGTCGGGGAGGGGAAGGGGGGTCTCCCCACCACTGTGCACACCACTGGAGGAAGCATGGGGGGCATGTACCCTGCCCCAGATTTGTGGGACTGTGGGGAATTCTGGGGTCACCACACCCCCCCAGGACTGCCCCTGCTCATGGCACTTCACACTGCCGCCTTTCCCTTGTGCAGCCAGCATGGGGCTCCTGAGGGAAAAAGGCAGCAGAACGGAGCGCCCCAAAAGTGACCTGCATTCCTGGCCATGTGCATGCTGCATGGCTATGCATGTGCATGCAACATTTATTGGTGACATTAATCTGTTACAGCCACCACACCCCCCCAGGACTGCCCCTGCTCATGGCACTTCACACTGCCGCCTTTCCCTTGTGCAGCCAGCATGGGGCTCCTGAGGGAAAAAGGCAGCAGAACGGAGCGCCCCAAAAGTGACCTGCATTCCTGGCCATGTGCATGCTGCATGGCTATGCATGTGCATGCAACATTTATTGGTGACATTAATCTGTTACAGCAACCAAAAAAAAAAGCCAATTGCGGATAACGTCAATTTTCCTTCTGCAGTTTGTACGGCCTGCAGAGCACAGGTCCCATGACCATTAAAATCACAAAAAGATCCAGGAGATGGTGAAGCTGAGGGACATCATGTTGCCCATGGACCTGCTCCCGGGCAATGTTTGCCAGGCTGTGTGGGAGCGCATTGACCAGAAGGACCTGTGCAAAGATCACAGAGACCTGAACTAATTGATAGCCCACCGAGCCCTGCCAGTGAGGGCCCGGAGGCATAGAGGGACAGCCAGGGAGACCCAGCTGTCCATGGCCCAACTGCCACGGAGCCACCAAGATGATCAACCACCTCGTCTGGCTCTGGGTCTGCACCAAGGAGGTATAGAACAGGGTGAAGCAGCTCTGCAAAG